GGGGCAGGATTTTCATTCTGGTGCTTTTTGGATATCAAAGTTGTCTGGAAAACTTTTTTTTATTATTATTATTACTGTAACAGGAAGGCTGATACCATTCTTGCAGTGTCAAAAAAAAAAATCCTATATGTATAAAATTCTCTTCAAATCTCTTTTGTTTGCTGTAAGTTGCTGCGTTGCCTGTATAAGCAGATCTGTTCCAAGAAGACTTTATCAGCCAGTCGCAGCTCTGGGATTTTCTTTTTCCTGTTAAGAGGCTCGGACAGGCTGGTGTGCTGAGACACCGGGACTCCTGCGAGCACGCATGTGAGAGGTCTGGAGCACGCCTGGCCGCCGTCAGTCCCCGGAGTTCATGGTGGGCTCTGCTCCTCCGCTCCCGGCTTTTTGGACAACATGTATGAACGCCACAAGAGGCGATACAGCCTGTGCGACATTTCCAAGGTGGACAGGACTGTAGATGTTGTGTTGTTAAAGGTACGATGTTTGTGTACACTTCTTTGCGGGTTCCTTTCCCCGTCTCTAATGGGTCTGTCTGATCCCTGCTGTACCCGTCCCCCAAGCTGGACGGTGCAGAGAGGGGGAACAGGTGGAAGAGCTCTTGCCCTTCAGCACGGAGACAGCTTTGGGTGCTATCAAGCCATTTCATGCCAAATATTATTATCCCTGCAACTAGATAAATCTCTTGTGGCCTGCAATCGGGTACCCTTTCAGAGAGCTCTCTCTGGCCACCTTCCCCGTCCTCTGCTGTTAGACAGTCCGTTCCTGTTTTGAAACCTTCACTGCTTGCAGGTAGGTTTTCTGCGAAAGGTGCCATTAGGGAACGGGTTTTCATTTCCAGTGGTCGCTTTTGGGGTTGACATGCAAGTGTGCCCTGAAAGATGTAATCTGCCAAAAAGGGCGTGCTGGTGGATCCTCCTTTGCCTCTGTTTTTTGTTTGTGTTTGAAGGGCGTTGCTGTCGGTCTTACTGTTTGAGTGTGAGTTTTGTCTGAAGATGGGTTGGAGCAAGAGCCAGGAGTGGCTCTTGGCTAATTGTCCTAGTGTGTTCCTTCTCTAATCTAAAATTAGCAAGTGCTCCACCAAATGGCACAATGGCAGTCTGGGAATGTCCTGTCTCAGTAACAGCTTTTTGGAGCTTCAGCAGTTTCCTGGCAAAGTGGATGGAAATAGGAAAGCAGCCAGAGGGACTGCAAGACACAGCCCAGCTTAGAGATCTGAACTCCTGGAAGAGCATTTCCTTTCACTCTCCCTTTTTCTCTCTTTTCTTTTCTTAGCTGAGGCAGTGAATTTCTGCATGTATAGCTTCCTTTTTTATGATTTTTGCTTTGTGCCCTTGTTTCCAAGTCGAGACAAGAAGGTATTAAAAAAATTATTTTCAAATTATTCTTGTTCTACTTTCTCTGCACTAAAATAGACCTAGCACTTGTTAGCTTGCTTTGTTTTGGAATGAAATTATTTTCCTTTAATTCAATGTATCCTTTGGTTTTTGGTGACACAAAATAACCATAACTTGTTTTCTCTACCAACTCAATTTTGTCGAGTGTGTTTGAACTCTGATGTTAATGAAGGAGGATGAGGATTGAATCCCATGGTATTCAATCTCTAGACACCCTATGAGTCATTAAAAAACACAGATGTATTGTGCACACACTACTTGTGTGAAATGACTGCTTAATAATTCTTGGGGGAAGACCTGGTACCCCTGACAAACTTGGTTGCTAATAGAAAAAACACAATCTTTTTCTTTATTAAAAGAGTATCTGAATGCTTGGGTTGAAATGTGATTCACTGTAATTATCTGACTTCAGTATTCTGATGTCATCAGTTCCTTAAATTAGTTTTTGTTCAGCAAAGCTTAGATTTTATAACAAAATGTGGCTCTTATTAGTTCCCACTAGTATTTTCCTAATCGAGTTTCAAAACTGTGGGTTACACTGTCTGTTCCTGCAAGTGACTCAGTGTCCATATATGTGTGCGTGTGTGCACGGATTGCTGCTCTGAACATAGGCTGTACAGGCTGCAGATGTCTAAAATAGGAGGGTGCTAGTGACAGCTATAGTTACAGTCAACTTTAGCTTGATTTTTAGTTGTTCTTCATGTTTTAGCTCATTTCTGTAACTTAACCAGTAGATGAAATTAATTTTGATGATCTAGGGATCCAAGCCAGCACTAGAGTGCGTCAGTGACAGATCATCTCTTGACGTGAATGGGAGTTGGATCAGACCCTTAATGAGGGAGTTTGGGGGTGGGGTCTTTTGGTGGGTTTGTTTTTAATTAAAATACTTAAATAAAACTGTACCTTATCTAGGTCATCCTATTCCGGTGAGTTACAAGGACAGGGTTTCTTAAGTGTCAAGGATTGAAAAGCAAGTAAGTAATTGCCCTTACCGCAAAAGCAAACCCGAATAGGATCCATTCAGAGTGTTTGATCTGAATGAAATTTTATCAAGGTACCTACAAAGCACCAAACAGCTTTCAGGTTGGCCTACCGATTGACTCGGACAAGCTGTCTTTTCTTTGAGTGGTAGAGGAATATATTCTTTGCTTCATTTTAAGGCGTGGAACTCAATAATCATGACATAGGAAAGAAAAACAGCCGGTGGAGAAGGACAACTGGAACAAGTTGTGAACAAAGAAGATACCGTGTCGTTTCAGTTACTGAACATTTATAGATGGGATTATATTTGCGTTGATTGCAACCATTCTTAGTACAGTCGCAAAAGAATGTTGGTTCCTACCGATTATTTTTCAATGCACGTGTCTGCTGAAGGGTGTGTTGGGGCTCAGATTTTCCATGTTTAGGTTGTGCCTGAAACGGTGGCTTGTGAAGTTACGAAAAGAAAAACCTCAGCAATTCTGGGGGTTGATGCACACAATTATTTTTAGATTTAACGTTGTTTCTTCCTCCTCCACACATACAAAAAAGCAAGAGGCAATGAGTAAATTCATGTCTGAGCCTCTATGTCAGAGGTAGGACTTCATCTTTCCTGTGGTTGTTTTTGCTGCTGCAGCAATGCGAACGGGATGAACTTGGTTACTGCGCATAGTGATTTGCCACTTTACAGGGAAGCCTGGATGATGCAGAAATGGCATAAAAATTTGCCGTTATCTTTCCTGCTGGGATTGCATTGTAGACGATGAAGGAGATGATGTGGGGCACGTGGGAGATCTGCTTGTCTGAACAGTTCACTGAGCTCTGAGCAGCTACATGCAGGGTGAAGCAGTCTGTGCTATGTTATTCCAAGACCCAAAATGGGAAGTCTCAGTGTGCCCATGTATGAGTTGGCAGCCCCATCTCATTTTTATGTTGTGCCTGCTACCACAAATATAACTATCTAGGGACAGAATACGGAAACCACGCTGGCTGGCACCTTGCAGATACATGTGAAGTTGGACAAGTGCTCAAGTCTGGATGAACAGGCTGTGCTTTGCAGAGTTAGAAAATAAGAAATGGGCTCGCTTTGAGAATGGGAGACTGAGCAATCGCAACTGGAAATGTTTTATAGTTGCTCATTGCCTGTGTCTACATTTCATCTTTGTACGTGAATGCTCAAACTGTTAAGTGTAGGCAGAAGGTGTAAGTTTTTTCGTAACTGGGGGAACAAGGTTTGATTTAGCTGCTCTTCAGATGAACAGATCCCATTTAGCTTCCAGTTAAAAGATCAGAATATTATTCGTGAAATTGAAACCACCCCAATGTTATAAAAACAATGAAGGCATTTTGAAATTAAAGAGGCAGCATTATTAGTTAGTTATTCTGCTCCCTGGCAGAGGGCTGCTCTGGTAGCTGTACGCCAGCACGAGAGAAGATCCTCTGGAATGAACCCTGCCCACCTGAGGCAAAGTGCAGCGTCCTAAGCTAAAAGTAGCATGTGGAGAAGGTCCCCAAATTAGCTGAAACTAAGGTTTCTTCCGCTGTATGTTACTTATAAAGCTTTTACTTTTTTATGGTTTTGGTTATTTGAAACACAAGCATGATCATTCCTTCTTTGGGGTTGTTCTGAGGGAAGTACTGTCCTCAGATGATTGGTATGCAGTGTCTTATCTTTGAGACCCTAAAATGACTCTCAGCTTTAATCCTGCATCTGTCCATACTAGTTTGGTTGTTGAAGGAGGGACAGCAAGAGAGAAGTGTATTTATGATGATGTGGAGAACTTTGGAGTTTTTCTGTTTGTCTTGTGCAGAATTAGAACTGGAAGGGTAACTTAAATGAAACCAACCTGCTTTCACCTTAGACACATACATGTTTGTGGGAATTTTGCTCCCATTTCAGTCAAGAGATGGTTTTTATGCGAAGACATTGCTGTTATTTTTAAAGCTTAATTAAAGTTTGTTGTTACCAGGACTCTTAATTCTGCTGGTGGAGGACATCCCAGTGTCAAGGGCTGGAAAATGTACTTGGGGCACATGTTCCTTTCCCCAGCTGGGACATTGTCAGGGGGAAAAGCGCACTCTAGGAATTCAGCATTGCTCTTACACCACAAAGTGCTGATTTATTCAGTCATTTAAAACATCCTGTGGCTGTAGGAGCCTAGTGTAGTTCTCTATAGCTCTGCTCACTTGTTGCTGTGAGCGAGGTCACTTTGAACCTCCTTGGAAAAGTGTTATCCTGATTATGATGTCACCTGTTCTGTAACGATGAAAGACCGTGTAGCGTATTCACAGTGCTAGAAGATAAATCTCTGTCAAAATCATTGCAGAAATGCAACTGTCGTCACTTTGTCCCTTTCAGCAGACATTGGAGAATCGTCTTGTGCGTTCCTCATCTGCATGGTAAAAACTTTCCACTAAAGCTAAGAAAATACACAGGGAGATTACAGAATAAATAAATAAATAATTTTGGAATTTGCAAACAAATTTATATGTCTGCCCTTAATATTGACTGACAAGATGGTTGCCAAAGCAGTGATTTTTGCTCTTAATGTGAGTTTCGTGTATATGGAGGTTTTTAGCATCAACAGGTGTTGAAGGAAGACAGTGGAAATTCCTTCCCCAGGTGCCCCTTCCCTCCTGCTCCTTTTGAAAGAGACTTGGAGGATCTTGTAAGGTGGTTTTTGTGAAGGGAGCGGATCAACTGGTGCTTTAGTTTCTAGTTCAGGAATTAGAGGCGACTGGATAATTATATCGTAAATGGAATTGTAAAGTTAAAAGTTGCTAAGAATAAACTTTGAATTCCAGTTCTGTGTACAAATTTCTTCAGTGAAAGCTATCCTACAGGAAATTTTCAGGAACAGGTAGTTCCTATAGAATTATTAAGATTTGCGTTGTTTTTTTTGTTTTTTTGTTTTTAAATAATCATTGTATCATTCCTGATTATTAAACAAACCAGTTATAATTGAATTTTAAGTATTTCTTGTTTTCTGCTATTTTTGTTCTTCACTGCATACTTCAAATCTTTCCTTGTGTTGGTTATTGCTCAGTATGGTGTACAAGTACTTAATGATATACCAAGCAAGCTAGAATTACGCTACTAAATATTTTCCTACGTGGAGTGGTATCTGGTTTTAGCTGCAAGGTAGAACTTTGTCTGGAAGCTGGGGGTAAAAAAAGAGAGAGAAATGGAAACTTGTAAATTAGGACAAAGTTAAAACAATGCGGAGGGAAGATGAATCTCAAGAGATTTGCTAGGAAATTGAAGTTAAAATCATCTGGTTCCTTCTGCTCTAGAGATGTTGATTTATGTCGCTACGAGTGAGGTTGACAAGTGCAAACCTTTAAAATTGCAGAAAATTTCTGGAGAGGTCAGTGAGTTTTCTTTACTGTGAAATGGAAGAGTTAAAATAAAACCAGAAGGAGAGAAAAAGGACTTTTCCATGGTGGAGATGTAGGAGAGATGCATGGGAGACAGGTAGCGACTGCCCCGGAGACGAGTGTTTCTAGCAAGCCCTCCGCTGTGTCCCTCTGCCAGACATTTTTGAAATGTCTTCTAAGAAGGAGGTCCCGATTCTGGTTTTCGTGGGCAGGCGCCGCACAGGACCGTGTGTGCTGGAGGGCGTTAGGTGACTCCTCGGCCAAGACTGCCGTGCAGGGGGAGAGGAAGGAAGAGCCTGAGAACAGAGGCTGGGGTCACTCGTTCCCGCATGGTGAAGGACATCTCAGCCCCGTTTGTCTCGCAGGTTGTCCAGCGCTGTTCTTTTCTTATGCAAAGAGGTTTCTGCAGTAATTCACATTGAGTTTCAAATTCAGCGTCTGCAGGAGGACTTCTCTGAGAGTCAGGAAATAAATACACGCACGTGTGCCCAGAAAGAGCAATCAAACTGTCTGCTGCTTGCAACTCCAGCTGGTGTCCTAAAGCCCTCTTTGGACATTTAGTCTGCTAGTGTTTCACAGGCAAACAGAAAATCCTTTGGGATTCAGTTGTTGGTGCCTGGGGATGTGCTTCCATGATTCATTCTGTGTCTGAGCTGCAGATAAACACATTCAGGCTTCTGCATGGAAAAATAGCTGGTTCTCTCCTGGAGTTTTTTCAAAAGCTGCAGATTGAAACTCTGTTCCCAGAGGCTGTTTCATGTTCCTTTCTGCCATCTGAACACCGCTGCATCCTCGGCTCCACCGCAGGGATTTGGGATGCCCAGAATCGATGGGCTAGAATCAGTGTGAGCAAGGCAGAAAGTGCGTGGGGCTTTTATCATCTGTGGCCACCAGCCTGCAGTCCTGTCGTTGGGCTTCTCTTAGCAAAACGGAGGCTGAGGGAAGAAGGGAGGAATAGTTTCGTTATGTATAATGCACTCATGTCCGCAAAATCCCGAGATCACTTCGTTTCGGATTTCTTCATACTGGTGCATTCCCCAACCCCTGATGTTGAGGTACTTTTATAGTGGTATTTTCTTTACAGCCTTTACTGTCGGTACTTGTAGTCGCTAGTCCTGCGTAAATATGAGCAGGATTCAGTTGTTGAGGAGGGATCCCAGGACTCAGTCTTGGGCTGTGGATAGTGGGGTTTATGTTTTGAGTATCTGTGGACCACCCAGTTCCCTGAGAGCTTGCAGTAAACCTCCCTCAAATCCTGTCTGGGCTCGTTTTGGCATAGGGAATACTTGTATATAGTAGTGGTTTCCTCTGTTTGTGTCTTGGTTGTTATTATTATTATTCCTGAATTAGGACTACTGAGATAAATACTTAGTTCCTAATGTTTTATTTTGTAGCTGATCAGCTATATCTGAAACAGCACCTTAAACCTCAGTGTTACTTCTCGTTACCTTTTTTAATAGAAAAAACCAGACGTTTTCAATACTTGGCAAAGTCACAGGGCAGAGGAGGGCTGGCTGGCTAATGGGAAAAATGCTCAAATCTTTTTTGAAAAAATGCCAATGTCTATAATGCATTTTCAGTGAATGACTCAATTGGTTCTATTAAAGGAAAAAATATAATGTTAATTCAGCCTAATATAGTTTATTCTATTACCAATCAACTGATAGGCTTGAACATCCTTATATTTTGCTTTCTTAGTGCTAATTATTGAACAGGATGTTAAATTATTGGTTTCTAATAGTGGTTATCAGGATGAATCAGGAGTAGTTCCCTTAGATTTGTTGGAGATATATGGATTTAAGTGTAAGGAGGATCAGGCTCAATACGATGAGGAAGGAATTAGGTGCAAGCCAGTCAGAAGGAGGCAGAATTTGATTTCATATTTGAAGTGGGTTGTTCCTTCATTTGTGTGGACTTGAGCATATTTGCATTTGTGCTCCTGTGTGCGTTCAGCTCAGCCTCTGGATTTGCTTTTAACAAAACATAAGATAGAGTGCTGCAAAATAGATTCTGCTTTGTCTGCAGAGAAAATAACATTAACATGATATTTATTGACTTTACAGCTCTTTTAAGACTAAAAATGTGTGTGTAAGTTCTGCAATGAAGTTTAATTGCTAAGGTTAGATACCCCTTAGCCTTGCTGAGAACAGGGGATTTCTTTCTTCTGCTGAAAGAATCCAAACAGTGACCCACTGTTCATGCAACAGTTAAAATTCAACATCTTTATGTCACTTTGGAAAACAAAAAAATCGTTGTTTTGAGTATGTACTTACAAAAGCCTTTCTCAGACTTTAGGCTGCCTCTCTTTCCACCTCTCATTTAATATATACATAATATATGTACAAGGGAGAAGATGGGTATGCAGGGGTGTGTGTTTGTGTGTTGAGTAGAGGTGCAGGGAAGGATGGGATCTTAGATGTATGTAAATATAGGGGTCTAATGGGGTCTTAGATGAATGTGTATATAAGGCACATGTGTGAGCAGAGGCAGCGAGCAGCCGGTAGGAAGTGTACATCGTATCTAAGTAGCCTGTAAAACTTCATGGGTGGGGAGGGACTTCCAGGTGCAACATGCACTGAGGTCACCCTGAGACCTGACTCTGGTAGAGCACGAGGTCTTCGCCTCTCCTGGGAGACTCCTGCTCCCTTTTCCCCTCTCACATCTTTGCTCCTTCCCTGTCTCCCCGGCAAGAGCTGCTGACTGGGGAAGGTCACGGCATCCTCACTGCTGAAGGATTCTAAGGGCACATTGGATTAAAACCTCTCAGATTATAGTTGAGCGTGACTTGGAGCAGCAGAAAGGGACTAGCTGACCTGTCAAAGGCCCTTCCAACCCTATTTTGTCATCACAGAAGTATGGAGGAGAACAAAACCTAAGGAAGAAAAATGTGCTGTAGAAAGTAGCTGACAGGTCTGGGGGAGTGGAGCATTGACTCTGCGGTGTGGCAGGAGCCCCTCCAGTGAAGGGCAGGGGGATGCAGCCAGACCAGTGAGGAGTGCCAGCCGCCGACTGCAAACAACATGTTCGATGATCTCAGCAAGAAAGAGAAGAAGGATGTGGGTCATTAGTCAAAGCAGTAAGTCAGGTCAATGGTAGGAGAGTCTTTGTTTTGTTTTGTTTTGTTTTTTTTTTAAAAAAAAAAAGAATAAAAAGGAAAAAGTGCATTTCATAACATGGGAGAAAGGAGAACATTGAGGGGATGAGAATCTGGCAAGGGACTGCAAAAATGGAGCAGGGTCATGGAAGAGATTTGAAGATAGGTCAGAGGCAAAAAGTAAATAGTAAAAATTCTCTATTTGACAGAAAGAGGGAGAAGGAATTTATTTCAGGAGAGAAAAGGAAAACCAGAGAGAGGGTAGGAAAAATAGTTGGCGTGTAAAATCAAAGTCATCCATTTCAGCAACTTTTGTGTTGAGGCAGCTTGGGAAAACAATCTCTGGATTTCGTGTCATGGGACATGGGATTGTCCAGGTGAGATTTGCTTGTGTTTGACAAATAAAGGCGTTCATCTAGGAGAAATGGCAGAGCTGCTGAAACAGAGAGAGAAAAGGGGCTTCCAGAGTCTACCGGCTGTAGACAAAAGCGATGGGAAGTGTCCACTGGATGAGCCACGGGTTGTGGATAGTCCAGCAGACTTCAGAGTCAAAATGTTGGTTGACACAACCCAAGTGAGGAAGAGTAAAGCACAGGCAGGAAGAGGAGAAGGCTTATCAGAAGATCAGTCATTGTTGCTGAAAGACTGGAAGTCACAGAAAGGGTGTTGAAATAAACCACATGGTGTGTGCCAGTGTTAAAATGGGTGTTTCTATCATCATCATCATCATTTAAGTTAAGGCAAACACAAAGTGCTTCTGGTTCTCACCTGGGCCCTTCCCTAGCTCTCGTTTCCCCATTATCAGAGCGCTTTACTATCTTTAAGGTAATTATCTTCACAGCAATACAGATGGTAAGGAGTTGCTGTTCTGTAGCTAGTGAACTGAGGGGTAAAGCAGAGGAGTATCTTGCAGTCCTGCTACAAATGATTACAAAAGCCAGGTTTCTTCAGTCCTCAACTAGTAGCTTAAACGCTGGCTTATCCTCCCTCTGAACTCCTGCCTTGAGCGGGAGCCACCTTGAAGTCATACTTTCCACAGAGAAATAAAGTTTTTTGGCATATTTTAATGGTTTGTTTAGTGATGCTTACAAAAGAAGTCATAAGTTACTTTTGACAGTTTTATTATTGGGACAAAATTAAGCCATAACTATATACCTGCTGGTCAACGCAGAGTGACATTGCAGAAGAGGCTAACGGGGATGTTAGCAAGAGTGGCCTTTCTTTGATTTGCTCTGGTCTGTTTTTCAGATAAACCGCGAAAGCTGGTGTTCGCTGGAGCCATGTCCCGATTCTTCCCTGCTGGAGCGCAAGCGGACGCGGGAGTCTCCAGGTGAGCAGCATGCTGGTGGCAGCTCCGCACGAGCAGCCTCACGGTTCTCCTTTTCTTTCCTTCTTTTTTTCCCTTATTTTTTATATCCTTGCCTTGACAGGGGCAATACGTAAACTAAAGAAAATGTGTAATGAATCTGCTGTGAGTCACTGTTAGCACATGGTCGTAGCACTTGACTTGCAGTGAGCTGTGTGATGTGTCACCTTCTTAAATAATTACACATTTAAAGTACATCAGTACTTTAAACAATTTTTTGTTGTTGTTGTTTAACAACAGCACAAGGTGTGACGGGGCACAGAGATGTTTCTAGCTAAAAGGATGACAGAATTTTTTAAAAAAGTCAGAAATTTAAACTCCTGAATCCGTATTTAGATCCAAATCAGTGGCTTCATTTTATTATTATTTGTTTTTCCCTCTGAAAGTTGCCATGATTTCCAAGCTTCAGGAAGCAGGAAGGCTGTTCAGAGCCGTCATTCCCACACCCTGCCCACCAGCCATGCCGAGCTCCCAGCCCTGCGTGCTGGCTGGTGCTTTCTGGCTCTTCCACTGGGACAGAAAATCTTGTCTGGGCAAGTTTCAGAGGGGTTAGTGTCCAAGATAAGAAAGAAAGCATTTCCTTTCATTGAATTATGCATGTTCAAAACAAATATCAGGGCCCTGAATAATAACTTTGCTTGGACTGTTCATAGAGAGGACGCTTCTCGCCTTGCTCTCATAACGAGCAGGGGCCTCACCTGAATCTCCTTCAGTTTATCTGAGAGACTTGCAAGCGAAACAGGGATTGAAACACTGAAGTGTCAGTGTCAAATTCACATTGGCTGACCTCAGGGGTTTATTCTAGGTAGAAGTTCTAGCTCCCATCAAAGTTAATAAGTGCTTTATTATTAAAAAAAGAAAAAAAGAAGTGCTCTGTTTAGAATAATCATGAACAGTGAAAAGCTGTTTCGAGAATGTTTTGCGGGAGGACCTGTGGTATCACCATGCTGCTTCTTTCCTAATTGTGTCCCCAAATCCCTTGCCTCTTGATATGGTATTTTTAAGCTTCAGGCAAGAGTTAATGTGCTCCATTTGGCTGCAAAATGACATGTGCTCATTTGACTTGCCAAATCTATAGTCATGTATTCATATGGATCAACATCAGTTAGATACTTATTAATTACCTAATGCAGTATCATACTATGGAAATGGAGTATGAATTATGTAATTAGGTATCTGTATATTGAAATAAATATTAATAATTATAGTAATACTTCTCTGTCACATAGGCATAAAGAGGCAGGTTTTTAAGTTGGTTAACATGCTCTCTGGTTGGACTGAAGCAGCAGGATGATCTCTGGCTCTGCAGGCGCTGGTCTTTCTAGAAATAGTGCTGTGACTGCACACACATCCCTCCGGCTGCGCTGTGGTGCTGTGCGGTGTAGAGAGGGCAAGAAAAACCTGGAAACACCTGACAGCAATAAAACCACTATCTGTCATAATGTGGCTAATTAAAAATAAACAACTTGATAGGAAATTAGACCTTTTTCACCTGCTGA